GATCTACCCTGCGCGTCTTCACTCCACTTGGCCTGCTTGCTGGCGGCGTTTTCCCAGAAGCGCCTTCTGCCGAAGGCGACCCTCTCAGGGTTGTTGGCTCGTCAGCCAAACTCCCTTCTGCTTCCGGCCTGCTATCCGGTTCAACGCGCTGCTCGGTTGGCCGTACTTCAGTTGGCCGACCTTCAGTCGCCCGACTCGCAGTCGGCCGACTGTCAGTTCGCCTGTCTTCTTCTGGAGGCATCGGTGCCTTCTGCGCAGAGGTGTCCGCCGACCTCCCCAGAATCTGCGCGATTATCTCTTCTTGCTTGGGCAGGATACTCCGCCGGACCGGAGTACGCCTGGTCTCCTCAGTACTAGTTGGCAACACCACTTTGCGTGCCCTCTGTTTCGGCCGGCTGTGAGGCTCGTTGGTTGGCCGACTCCGAGTCGGCGCCGCGGGAGCTTCCGGCTGCCTGTCTTCCAGTCTCTCATCCCATTTCCGCTTCCGCGGTGCGCGCTCGCTTCGACGCTCTTCTGCTGCTCTTGCTGGGGCCGGAGCCGGAGCTGGAGCTAGAGCTGGACTGGCAGGTGCTTCGTCCGGATCTGTGTCCACTTCGGCCTCCCGCAAGTATCTACCTGGATAACTCCGGGTCAGCAGCGGAAACCGTGTCCGCTCTGAAGTTGTCAAACATCCCATCGCTCGATAAAACACAATCAGGTAAGGCGAAAGATGATTGAGGGTCCCTCCTCTCTCTTCTTGCGCATGTTGGCGCGTCACCTTCCACAGGAGTCGCGCCCAATGAACCGGAGCTCCTGACAACACTAGCTCCACAAATCCCACTTGCCAACCATGCATGTAGGCGGTCTTGGTCGGCTGCAATATCTGAAGTAATGCAGTCGCGACATTTCTCCGCAATCGATCTTTGTAATCTCGCGTCCGGAAACCGTTCTTGAGATGCTTGGCAACTTTGAAAAGATCATTGTAGGAGATTTCTTCCTCCTTGGACACCTTCACGCTCTCGGCCTCGAAGAGGAGAAACCCTTCCTCGCCTGCACACCTTCCTAACACCTGCGCCCAGTCACTAATGTCCCACCTCTCGGGATGTGGGCGGAATCCGCGCGAGGGCTTGTGTTTCTCCTGCAGATACTCGCGCACCATCTCCGGACATGTCCAGTTCCATCCCCACAGGAGGAAGTCAAGCTTCAGCCTTGTTAACACATCTTGGAATGCGCGTAGACCGATCTGCAGCACTCTGAGTGGAGACACTCGCAGCTGGGGGACCTTCGACATCTTCCTTGCGTTTCCTGCACACACACACAGACGTTCTCCCTTCCGCTCGATCTCTCACAATCGCCGCTGCGCGTCGGCCGCTCAGACACTGACTGAAATCGCTCTTTCTTCTCTTGCGCGCTCAAGTTCGCTGCTCGCAAACTCTCTGCAAGGTCTGTCAAAATCCTCGCGCAACTCGTCTCCGCACTCTCTCTTCTCACTGCAGGTCTCTCCGCCCTTGCGCGTAATCTCTGAAGCTGGAAAACTCACAATCAAGAATGAGAGAATGAGACTGGAGCGCAGCCTTTTCTTCTCCGAATTCAAGATCACCCAACGTTCTCACTGGTTACAATCAAACTTGATTGCGCAGCCGGCTATACGGCCTAACGGTTCTCCCTCGCATGCTCGAATTCACGACTCCGCACTGCGCGCATTCGCATGCGTGAACGTTGAATTCTCCCGCCGCCATCGTCTTCCAGACTCGAGTTCGCCGCAGTGGAGCGTATGCTTCGACTAGGTTGTCTTTTCCTAACCTGACCATCGCCGGAGGCATATCGCCGCTGGCGTAATCCTTCTCCGTCGGCGCCTCGCTGGAGGCGCACATCAAGTCGGCGCGAATTACGCCGGCGCGTATTCGTACCACTTTTTTTGTCCGTTCTGCCCCGCCTATCGCCAATGGCGCATATCCCGCCGGCGCAAATCATGCCAGCGCACCCGCCTATCCGCGCCACGTCGGAGGCGTACATCCGGCCGGCGCTTCTCTTCCGTTGCGCAGCCGCCAAAGGCGCTTCCGCCTCTGAGTTGATCTCCTCTCATGAGCGCGTGGTTCCGCCGAAGGCGCATCGCCGAAGGCGTACGGGAGTCCTTTCCGACGGTGAACCCTAGCGCGAACAGCGCATGTCCAGATGCAAGTTTTCCGACGCTCATAACTTCTTCGTCCCTGATCCATCTCCGGCGCTCTTGGGCTCGTTAGAACGAGCGTCCCGAGCTCTTTCCAATGCAACCTCAACCAACTGGAACTACGGTGAGTCCTGATCGTTATGAAGGTTTCCCTCCCGCGCTAGCGGCGCATCGCCGAAGGCGCACTCATGGTCGGAAGCCTTCAGGGGTCCTTGCCGGCTTCTGACGTCTTCAGCGACATCTCCTCCGGAGGTGTCTGTGCCGGAAGCGTACTTTCCCTAAACGCTGGAAGTGCGTGGGTAGAGACACCTCAGTAAAGGAGATCTTGCCGAAGGCATTTGGCGCTGGTACGTCCAACTTCGCGTTTCTTTGTGACCTCGTGACGATCTCCTCAATCCACTCTATTTAACGTACCATTTCCTAACTACAGACACTGCTTCGGTACTTCTTTTCTAAATTGTTTAAATTCTGCAAAAAAAACAAAAAGTGTGTTACCACAAGCACTCGATTGCTTGCTTGACGAACTATTCTGGACATGTGGATTTTACTTTTCCGGAAAAGACACAATCTTAATCTGGGAATCATCCAACACAAGAGTATTATATCAGCAGGATGCTAGCTTGATTGGAAGATGGCAAGATTTAACTTGCCGGCTGAAGTTACTGTGTTTGTGCCTGCACGCGCCTGTCACTTGGAGATGAACATGTGAATGATCCAAGTAATCTACAAAAATATCGGAAACAGAGGCAATGTACTACAAGAAATCAGATTCCAAGCTTGGAGGGAGTGCAGTGCACTTTGCCGATGGCAATGGCGTACAGTGATAGAAAAACCAAAAAGGGGAGCCATTTTCAACATCTTCAACAGGTGATCTAAGGAGTTATGTGCTTTGTTGTTTGTTACTTATCATCTTCATTGCTGAAGGTATGATCTCAATCTAATGCACGTGGGAAAGTCGTAGAAACAAATCAATATTCGTGAGATGAAACCTCTTACCAACGATTCCTAGAATCTCTCGTTTTGTCTCTTCCTGCAGTATCTGAATTGCTACGTTACACCACAACAGCAGTGGTGTAGGACCCCAAGATTTATCAGATAAAAATGCGGGACCCAGTGCCATACAATTCTCACCAGAGGCCAGTTCTGTCAACTAAAATGGCAAGCCAAATAAGGAAATAACCATGAATGTTTCAAATGCATCCCCTTTATAAGATTCACCTGGCAAAGGGTTTGTGGCGTTCTAGAACTCAAGACAAGCGACCGTGGCTTCTCATAAATTTCGTTTTGTGCATCGAACAGTGATCGTTGGAGAGAAGCAACCGGTGTCAAAAAAGTCAAAGATCCAAGATGAGATGGCTGGTGCAAAACACAAAATCTTAATCCCCACGATGATAAACTAGCGTCAATATACAGGTCGATTTCTCTGTCGTATGTGTCATGTCTGAGCATTTATGCTATGTCAGCATTGTGAATTTGGACCAAGGTATCTCGCCTCTGGACGGTGGTAGTTCTACCAAGGAAAGACTTTGTGAACATCTCCTTCTTAATCGTACATTTGCGTCTAGGTAGTCATAAGAGATATATGCACACCAATCACACACTGAAATTCTTTCTTATTGGAGAGAAGACAGAGAGTAAGTGATACTTGATTTGCCAATTAGGTCTAGGGACTAGCTATTTGTTTTGTCTTGTCCCAGACTTCATTCCGGTTACCCTTGATCAATTTTCAAAAAATGCAGCACTGAATCTTGAAGTGATTGAAATCTCCAGGACGATTGTTTTGGAATTTAGTATTTATTGGAACAGTGAATAATCAGTTTTGTTAATGCATCGCACAAATTATTCATACTCAATAATTTCAAAATATTTTTTTTTATGATTCTTTTCTACAGGAATTTTAATATCACATTTTAGATTATGTCCACTATTTTTAAATGGAGATTATCCATGTGCACGTTTTTCAACAATTCACCACTTAGAAGGTATAATCAATATCTCCGAAAATTAAACACAATTTTGACTTCTGTTCTAGCTTTGTATTCATTTTTAGTAGATCACATTTGAATGTAGGGACTGAACTCAGTAACCACGACTATGTTCTCTCGTATCACATTTAAACCAGACAGTAAACAAATTTTTCAAGTGATTAGAATTAATCACTGAATTTTGATATGTAAAATCAATTGTCTCTATATGAATAGAGAGATGAACAGAGTGCGGAGATCAACAACACATCGTATTATTCCCTTAGAGCAAGAGACCTCATCATGAAGAGTAGAATAACTCATCCTCGCGTAGAAGGCAAGAGAAGGCGAACGTCAACTTTTATCTCAACTTTCCTTGAAAAATTTGGATTAGTATCACGATGCACATACTCAACATGTACCACTGTATGCTTTTCACATGATATTAAGATGGCATTTTGCCCATATCTCTTCACATCTCCACATGTAGTCTATTCAATGTGATCTGAAGCATGCTGTATTTTTAGTGGTCAAGGGTGTGATACATGCCAACCATACATTAGCACCAAATAGTAGCACTGCGGAGTAAAATCTCCCAATAGTGACAAACATGGGTTCTAGGGTTTTACTACAGTATTGGAAGGTGTCACTCTTAGGAGAAAAGTGACTAACCTTGATTATAACCTCCCAATAGTAATGCACATTGGTGTACAGGTTGGAATTCACTATTGGATGTCAATTAGAAATAGAAAGTACATAGACTTCTTAATGTACATTACATTCGTTCTAGGACATTCTATAATTATGTTATTTGGTTTAAAAATCGTATTCATTTGCAATTCTGTATTGTTCACGACGATTAAAGTATGAGTTATAGTTGAGTTTGAATTCGAATTAATACACAAAAATATGAGTGAAACTATTCATGATAGTATGTGTCTAACTAGATCTCTAAATCGTGAAGATCGTCCATCTTGAGTACTCTTAAGTGTTTCTGATTGCATATGTCCATAACAACATGTGAAGACCATACCGAAGCTCTGAAGTGCACACGCTGGTACAATCAAGCGATTCCTTCTACATGCATCACTCTCTATGTTATACGGTATTCCGAGAGGGAGTGTCATTGACACGACCAGAGGGACCTCCCCATAGTAACCGGCGGTTCCAGCACCTGTGATTTTTATGGGCTACCACCGTCACTAATGCAGTACGCTTCTCAAACGGGGCGGGGACATGAGAGTACATTTGGTTCTTATCTACATTGGCAGGCACGGAGTACATGACATGACCTAAGACAGGGGTCATATATGGCAAATAAGACATTCTGAGCCCTGAATCTAGGACTGATTCGTAGGAGAGTTGGAAATAAAACGGGTCCTGGTACCACAACGTCAAAAGCGCCAGCACCTCCATGACATTCGCCTCCAGGAGCCTCTCTGCATCCTCCGTTGTAGGTGGCCTCCCACTGATAAGATGTTTCCAGCAACCAAGCTGAGATGGGTGCCTTTTGAGCCTGGCACACAGCCCTGGACAATGATGAAGGCGACATTTCGACGATGCTTTGAGAAAGGAACCATCTCTCTGCTTTCGAATTGGCTTCAAGTGCTTTGCTAACTTCTGTAACAACCTGAACCGAGGATGGGCAGCGGCATCACCTTCTTTGAATTTGCCATCGTCGTCCCTTGAACAATGGTAGATCTCTGCCCCCGATATATCTTCAAGCTCGTTCATTGTGAATTCTTTATTCGCAGCAGCCATAAACACCAACTTATCTTCAACACAGCCGTAATCATACAACAAGAGTCTACTGTCAGTGTGTCTGTAGATGAGGATGCTATGAGTGTAGTGTTCGACAACACCGCGACTCTTGATATGGCTGATATAGTTCTTGACAAGGTTGCCGTCCACTCTAGCTGTCGTGACTACCACATTTTGAATGCTCCTTTGCTCGTTCCATGCCTCACTCAACGACTGCACAAGTTTGCGTGTCAGTCTGTCGATATACGGGATCTGCACAGTCATACCGCAACCAAGAGCTGACACGCCGAAGGTTAACTGCTGATTTCTGGAAAGTATCGACGATAACATGAGCGCCGGATCGACTCCACTTTGTCTCAATTGAACACAAAAGTTCTGAAGTGCTTGCATACCAGGTACCACGCCCTCGTCCGTATTGGATTGTGTCTTCTCTCTGACAACTTTGAGAAGAGCGTCAGCCATCTCGTAATTCCTGATCAGTTCCCCCTCCATCGTTTGAAAAGATCCCGCAGAGTACTGGACCTCCGTCATGCCATCCACCAAGCTGTGGGATGCCAGGATCGGGGCGAATGACATGTTTCCAGTAGAAGGGTTTTTATCTAAGACGTTGGATCTAGCTTTTTCTCGCGCTTCTCCACTGAATCCGCAGTCCATCTGAGCACCTTTGTACACAACCGGCTCAGAGCTGGGATCGCTAGTGGCGAAAGGTCTCAAAATTCTACGAACGCTGTCTTGAAGTTGAAACTGCTCATTGGTTCTTGCCTGGACTCTCCTGCCTCGTGAAATTAACTGAGCGACGAAACGAGCATCTTCGAGTAGATCTGGCGTAGATATCGCGGCGGCTATCAGATTCGTCCTTTCGGATACATCGAATTCAAAATCAAAATTGTTGTCAACGAGCATTGACCATGCGAGATCGATGCCCAAGGCATTCTCACCCTGTTTTATCTTAAGAAAAAATGCCGTCAGAGTGCTAGCAAGTTGCTGTCTTTCCTCATCTGAGATGACAACTTCCTCGCTCGAGCTCGACGGGCCAGTTAGCAATCTGTGCTCCAGCGGCGAGGCAACGACATCGATAAGCTCTCCCCTTGTTGAATCCAACGAAAACTGATTTGCCATTGCAACGAATTGATCCTTCTGCCTGCTGCGACCTCCTGACTTTGATCAGTTCGATTTTACTGCGTCTTTTTTATTGTGTTCCGGTCTTTATTCAAATCGACTGAAGAAAATGAACTCTGTGTGTCGCGAACCAGTTCTTAAGAAGCGCACATTCATGAGAGTGGAACAGAATGTCCGCAGTTACAGTTCACGTGCGTTGATGCAGACCTTGATAATTTCATCGCCCTTGCGTGCTTGTTTCTTGACAGACGCGATGACCAGGTCAGAGGTTCCTGTCACGTTGACTTTTCGGTCACCTTCGCTGACCGTTGCAGTTCTTTAGCTCTGAGCGTTGGTGAACCGTCTATCTAGTATTTTTTTCTTACAAAATGCAAGGCCTATCACTAAGACTCAGAAACCAAGGAAGCACTCGATTGCTTGCTTGACGAACTATTCTGGACATGCGCATTCGACTTTTCCGGAAAAGACACAATCTTAATCTGGGAATCATCCAACACAAGAGTACGTTATATCAGCAGGATGCTAGCTTGATTGGAATCTGGCAAGATTTAACTTGCCGGCTGAAGTTCCTGTGTTTGTGCCTGCACGCGCCTGTCACTTGGAGATGAACATGTGAATGATCCATGTAATCTACACAAATCTCGGAAACAGAGGCAATGTACTAATGCTGCAAGAAATCAGATTTCAAGGTTGGAGGGAGTGCAGTGCACTTTGCCGATGGCAATGATGTACAGTGACAGAAAAACCAAAAAGGGGAGACGTTTCCAACATCTTCAACAGGTGAGCTTCAAAGCACATAACTCCTTAGTTATGTGCTTTGTTGTTTGTTACTAATCATCTTCATTGAGGAAGGTATGATATCAATCTGATGCACGTGGGAAAGTCGTTGAAATAAATCAATATTCGTGAGATGGAACCTGGTTATAAGATTCACCTGGAAAAGGGTTTGTGGCGTTCTAGAACTCAAGACAAGCGACCGTGGCTTCTCATACATTTCGTTTTGTGCATCGAACAGCGATCGTTGGAGAGAAGCAACCGGTGTCAAAAAAGTCAAAGATCCAAGATATAGGGAGAAGATGAGATGGGTGGTGCAAAACACAAAATCTTAGTCCCCACAATGACAAACTAACGTCAATATACAGGTCGATTTCTTTGTCGTATGTGTCATGTCTGATGAGCAATTATGCTATGTCAGCATTGTGACTTTGGACCAACGTATCTCGCCCCTGGACGGTGGTAGTTCTACCATGGATAGACTTTGTGAACATCTTCTTCTTAATCGTACATTCAAATGTACGATTAAAAAAAAGTCTAGGTAGTCATATGAGATATATGCACCCCAAATCACACACCGATCTTCTTTCTTGATGGAGTGAAGAGATAAAGTAAATGATTGCTTGATTGGCCACTTAGGTCTATGGACTTGCCATTTGTTTTTTATCTTGGTTACCCCTGATCAATTCTCACAAAACGCAACATTGAATCTTGAAGTGATGGAAATCTCCAGCATGATTATTTTGGAATTTATAGGAACAGTGAAGAATCAACTTTGTTGATGCATTACACAAATAATTCATTCTCAATGTTTTCAATATATCACTTTTAATGATTCTTGTTTATAGGAATTTTAATATCACATTTTAGATTATGTCCATCATTTTTAAATGGATTTTATCTATAGGCACGTTCTTCAACAATTCACACTCAGAAGATATTATCCATATCTCCGAAAAAAAACACAATTTTGACTTCTGCTCTACCTCTGTATTCATTTTTAGTAGATCACATTTGAATGTAGGGACCCTAAACCCTGACTAAACTCAGTAACCACGACTAAGTACTCTCAAATCACATTTAAACCCAACAGTAAACAAATTTTTTAAGTGATTAGAATTAATGACTGAATTTTGATATGTTAAATCAATAGTCTCTATATAAATAGAGAGATGAACAGAGTGCGGAGAACAACAACACATCGTATTATTCCCTTAGAGCAAGATACCTCATCATGAAGAGTAGAATAACTCATCGTCGCCTAGAAGGCAAGAGAAGGCGAACGTCAACTTCAATCTCAACTTTCCTTCAGAGTTTTGGATTAGTATCACGATGCACATACTGAACATGTACCACTGCATGATATTAAGATGGCATTTTGCCCATATCTCTTCACATCTCCGCATTTAGTCTATTCTATGAGATTTGAAGCATGCTGTATTTTTAGTGGTCAAGCCTGTGATACAGGCCAACCATACATCAGTACCAAATAGCAGCAGCACTATTGAGTTAAACCTCCCAATAGTGACATCTATTGTTTCTACGGGTTTACTACACATTGGAACGTGTCCCTCGGAGTAGAAATGTCCCAATAGTAATGTACATTGGTGTTCAGATTGTAAGCCACTATTGAAAGGTGTCACTTACACATAGAAGTGCACAGACTTCTTATAGTATATTACATCCGTTTCTAGTACATTCTACAAATATGTTGTTTGGTTTAAACCTCATTTACAATTTTGTATTGTTCACAATGATTACTGTAAGCATTATAAGGGAAGGGCTAGTTATCTCTCAATTAGGGCTAATTAATTCTCACGCTACTATTGGCTTTTCTCTGATTGATCGAAGGTTTATTTTAGAAGTTGATGCTAAACACACCTTATAGCATTGTATTGACCAATCAGATGAGAAATTATTGTAGAGTGAGGGCTAATTAGCCTTAAATGGAGTATAACTAGCAGCTCCCCGTTATAATTGAGTTTGAATTCTAATTAATACACAAAAATCTGAATGAAACCAATGACCATAATATATGTAACGAAGTATTTTATCGAAACCGAGAATAGTGAATTCTTGATATAGAAATTTAAATAAATGAATGTCAAATTCTTCTTTCTCACCGTTATATATTGCGATCATGATAGATTACATTTGAAACTGTCAGTATTGGATAGCGTCATGTTGTTATAGGACTCCTGAACACAAACAATCGAATCGATTCGGGCAGAACTCGAATCCGGCGGCGGATCCATGATCATGAGGGGTTTAGGATCGCGAGGGTGAATTGGGAAATTGGAATTGCATTTCGAGAAGGCAGGACCAGCAGGATAAGTAGTGCAGCGCGGCCCAGCTAGAAGCAGAAGCGAGCCAGCAAGAGAGCGGGTGCCTGCAAGCGGGACGAGGAGTGTCAGACACGAAAGGAGGATTATGCAGAGAAGGATGGACCAGTTGGGCTTCCAGCTGAGCTCTTATCTATCGTTGCTTTATTGATTTTAGGGTCGGTTACAGCCCTCTACCCGAACTCGGGTTCCGATAAACCCGATGGGAGCGTAATGTCGATAAAGCAAATAGTGACATATTGTTCTTATTGAGTAAATTTACAAACTACAAACTTATGGTTATGATTATAACCTACGTTACATGTTCCTATCCTTGGAATATGATTGCGGAACTTATTATATTGCATTTTGTCTTGTTTTCTGTGTACCTTAGTGACAAACATCCTTCGATCTTGACATAGATCGATATGATCTATGTCAAGGGGGATATGCAGGAGAAATCTAGAAAAGTGGACACTGTTAGTTCTCTAAAACTTTCCCATTCTCAAATAGTAAACCTCTTAATTTCTTGGTGCTTGATTAATGTAAACCTTACGGATCCACTATTCTAATACCGTTGATCATTATTAATAATCCTAACGCTCCAAGGCATTAGGGTTCTACTTAAACAGTTCAAACCGTAGACAAAGTTTTTGATCAAAGCTGCAAATTCTTGGTGACCACGACAGTTGTAGGTCAAAGGCAGGAGCTTTAAACCGAGCGTTAAACCTCCCAATAGTGGGAAATCTTATGATTGACATACTCTCATAAGTGATGTAAATTACCAGAACCATTAGTTTGTAACTTTTTTATCTGCTCAATAAGAACAGTACGTCGGTATAGCTGATAGTGACATGATATTATCGAGAGTTGCAAGTAAATTTCGGAGATAAATTCATATCATAATCATAATACATAGCTGTGAGAAAGAAAAATTTGGCATATTTTTATTTAAAAGTTTATGTCAACAATGCACTCTTTCTGGGCTTCAGTAATATACTTCACTACAAATATTATCATGAATTGTTTCACTCAGAGTTTTCTGTATCAATCCGAATCACCCGCAACTATAGTGCCTATGTTAATCTTCGTGAACAATACAAAATTGCAAATGAAGTCGATCTTGAAACCAAACAACAAATTCAGAAAATTTCTTAGTAAGTATGTAATGTACGAGAATAAATCTATGCACTTTATTTTTTCAATAGTTACCTCCCAATAGTGACATCCTAACACCAATATATGTTACTATTGGGAGGTTATACACCTCCCAATAATGACATCCACCCCAACACCAATGTATGTTACTATTGGGAATTAATAATTAAGGTTTGGCTTTTTCGTCTTGTGAGTGACACCTCCAAATAATGGCATAAAACCCTGGCACCAATGTATGTCACTATTGGGACGTTTAACTCTTTACAAAAATTGGTTCTACGAACCCTTTCCTGCAACATTCCAAGAGGCTGCAGCTTGATTCCACTCAGCTGCCAATTTCTCATAGACAAGTTTTAGCCTTTTGTAGCCAACCCTAAGGTTGTCTATATTGTAAATGTCTTCATAGAAGACGCGACGGAGCGCGGGAGTCATCACCGATCTAGAATCACCTTTATTGGCTTTGGTTTTAGTAGTTGTTTTCGCTAATTCTGCTACACTAAAAAAGAAAACATAGTTACTAGGTTTTTGGATTCCCCTGATTGGAGCAGAGGGCCTTTAGCTAAGAAAGGGAAAGTCCAAAAGCTTGTCTAAGCTTTAGCTCTTTTCCTGGTGGAAGAGAAGGTAATGCTTGGACCGTCTTCGTTCCCTTTGGAAATATTGTAAAGAAGAGCAGTTCAAGGCAGAAAGGCATGTTCTGCTAATGTCATACTCGGAATATTACATGAACAGAGATTGACTTGACCATACCCCAAACCAGGAGACTTTGACAAAGCGGGTATTCTTGGAGACCACGTGGATCTACTACGCCCTCGTGTACAAATTGGCAACGACGACCACATACATAAATGTCCTGATCTTTTAATGTAGTCGTGTTAAACCTCCCAAATTGCCACAAATCCATCAAATCTGGTCCTTTTAGTATTCTTCACGTGGCGGAAGGTCCGCACCTCTGGATATATTAAATACTGGATGTCTTTGTTCCTTCTTCTGTACATCTCCAATCGAGTGATTTTATTAAGTCATGATAATACTCGAATGAGTTTAAAGACTTACATACTTGACCTTCTGTTTGCTGATTTTCCTGGTCTATTGCAACCCTGTTTACCGAGAGCGACGCGATGCGCGATGCACGCCTCGACCTTGACCACCGTAGTCTACTACAGGGCATCAACAAAGCTGTTGATCCAAGGAACTACTTTAATGACCTGGGCCAAGTTACCACTCCAGCACAAGGCACTCTACGGATTTGGTAGACATGAGGTGCTCTGACTGCATTCTCAAATACTATAAGATCCGTTGCCGTCGATGACAACAGCGATCAAATTTTTCTTCTTCCAATAGCTTGATTTCTATCCCCAATTTTCTTTCCCATTGAGCAAAACGTGACGCGCTTATGGTAGTCAGCATCGGTCGGTGGGCTCAGCAGCAGCAGAGTTTGTCCTCGGCCAAAACGTGGCGTTCCTACGGACAACAGACTCCTGGACTCTTAGTGTGGTCGCTGTCGGAGAACAATTCGCCTCGTGGTGATGGGCTCCTCCCAATGATGTGTTAAGAAAGACTTACGACCACGTCTAACTACCGACGCGTACATTTGTCTCTGCAAACTTGGAATACCGCTGAGGCTAGGTTTTCAAAGTTGGGATACTGCTAATTGTTTGAATCTGAATATGAGCTTAGAAATCCAGAATTGAAGTAAAATCAATCTATTTCTGTTGATGAAGCGAGGCATGTAGTATATGTGTACGCAAAATCCACAATCAAAAATACATTGTCAGGAGTTGTCTTGACAGACTGCTTGGTGTGCAATGCTGGCCATCTTGTTCAGCCAATAATATATGTCCCACAAAAAAGCTTTCCCAAAACTATGGCATAATGACAACTTGTTTGAGTTGACTCTTACTTTTGACCGAACATCACCTTTGTCTGTGATCTATCCAAAAGGTGGACATCACCATGTAATAAGCAATAACAAAGAACATGCATGCACGTTGCATAGTAATTTGGGTGTTGACGGTGAGCTAACTTCCTGCTGTTGCATATTGACTGCGTGACTGCCCATCGGATATTTTCCATCATTTGGGGTCATTTAGGGTCATCATACTGATTTATTCTTCAGTGTCTGTTTACGTGTTCCTAGATTTAATTTAACAGTTAACCCTCTGTAATTCAGCATACAGGTCTGTCTTAGAGCGAACATACATGGAATAGTCACTTTCAGTTTCTCTGACAGGTAGAAGTAGAGGAAAATGGGATTAGTCCTAATCTAAAATGCTGCATTTAGTTAACGGTAATCAAAAGTCCAAGACAGCACCGTTCGACCGTAAGAAAGGCATTTAAGGTTGATGAAAGCTTGAAAGAAACAACTTCTGCTACTGCTAGTCAGTGAAGGCTTGTGATGATTGATCTGGCTTCAATTGGCTTGGTCCGCGTTGTGCAGGAAACTGGGTCATGCTCTTCACGTTATACCGACAGATCCTCTTCTTCCAATTGGGTGATGTACAGATATGGATTACAGCGAGAGAGTCCAGACATTTCATCGCCTTTGTATCGAGCTCGTGGCATGGCTGCGCATACATACACGCTCAATGATTCCTAAAAAGCGACTGGTGGTTGGGAGTTAGAAGGAGGAGAGATTTAACAGGCTTGTCGTCATCCGAGGGAGCGATATATAAGGGCGAGCGATGCATTCTGTCCCTAGACGTCTCTTCCAAATAGTGGGCGAACAACAATACGCCAGTAGCGCCAGGGATCACTTCGAGAACAGAGTATAAAGCAGTTGCAAGGCCACGAAGTAACAACAGATAAGACATTTTGATCGGATGCTTGCAAGTCGAAACGAACACTCAATTTGAAGAGCAGGTATCATTGATTTGGACTGATTCGTCTTTATTATACAGAATATATCGTCTGAAATCCATCCGATAGACAGAGAATCTCAAAGTCTGTTTGTGGAGACACTCGCGAATTACCATGGAAACTATGAGGAGATCATACAGCGGGAAAGGCTATGGAGAGGCTCGGAGATTGGAAAGGCGAAACGCGATGAAGAACATAATTTATGACCTTCGATCTCTAGAAGCCAGAAGGACCTTAGATTCAGATACTTCGTTTCATGACGAGTCGGAATCGTCAAGCCTTTCTCGAAAGAACTGGTCGTTGGATGATTCTAGAGTACTGGGAAATAGCTGCCAGGAGAAGATGACCGCCAGATGTATGCATCTGGGCATTCCTGGACCTGCATACCTGGGAATAAGTCAAGATGATTGGGCCGCTGCAAAATGGCACGCTTCAGGTGGAGCCTCTGCTGGCGACTCTACTCTATCCGTTACACGCGAAGACCCTTCTGAATTCATCGAACGGAGGAAGATCGAAGAGTCGAGGACCACTGAATTTGAAGGAGGCAAGTATTCTGCACTAGATGAGAGAAGTCACACCGCCCACAGTTTCCCAGTGCCAACGCAGCAGAACTCTGAAGTTGAAGCTGCGGCTCCCACTTCATCCGATCCCGAAGCATCAAGTTTTACTTTTCCAGTTCCTACGCTGCAGATACAGGGGCCCCGAAGTGAGCCAGTCCAAGACTCGGACATTGCCGAAACTCGTACGCCAAGAATTGTAGTCTCGCTTTGGGAATCAACCTCGACTTTGACCTGGAGCTCATCTACTGATGGTAACCCTGGATCGATCCGCGAGGTCGTTGGTTACGCCGGAGCAGAAAAGTTACAGGAGCAAAGAAGTTTCAAGATGAAGCAAGATTGAGCGACAGGAAGATGCGGCTGCTAAATCCCGACCTCCTGTATCGGTTCAATCCACCTCGCCCGAGGTTTGACAAATTGTAACTCACGACTTCCCGATAGATTCAGATCCTAAATAGATTTGTACGTATCTTTGATGGGCGTCACTATTTGATTGAAGGACTCTGTGGTTTAGATGGCAGACATGTAGCGGAAGTAATTCTCCCATTTGAAACATTTTTCTGAACGCCACAAGTTCCTTGAGGTGCAGTAGAGTTCAGATGTGTTCAGTATAAGGCTTATACAGTAGCCGCTACTGTTTTGGCTCCACTTATCAGTCTTCTATGTCACACAAGTAGAAAATTTAAGCAGTAAACTTCGCTTCTGCTTTGGCATGGTTTAAGAAACAATGGCATGAGTAAAATTCTACAACCAAAAGATAGATTACTTTTATAGGTGTGATCTGTGAACACTTGCAAGTGCATTCTGAGAATAGTTACATGCATAGTCTGCATCCGCTTATACTTCGGGGCAGCCTCGACAATTATGTGGAAATGGTTACACTCATCAAACACAATCATTTTTTAAAGCAAGGAATAGTAAGTAGGAAGATTTTTCTTCCATGGTTTGAAAGATGCTTGTATCTGAGCCTGTGTATAATATAAAAGCATTGGGTTGCACCACATCATAGAGGAAATTACTTGACGGGATCCATAGGAACACAAATAGGTTACTGGACCCATCACCCATAGTTTTACCCGATAGGATCCCAACGATGGAAAACTTCAACAATGTTCTAATATAGACGATGAGGGGAGGCCGCGGATCAAAAGATATATTTTTCAATGCAATAAAAGGTTGTAGGAGTTGGTGAATTTTGAGACGCTATGTGGTGTGGGTTGTGTTCTGTCAGTTGTTTGTTTGTGAGCTGCGACAAGAAGCAGTGTAGGTATCAAATTGGTGACATTTTGTTGGAAAGTGAGCACCGGGGATCATTGAAGGTCGTCAAGAGATCATAAAAACAAAGAAAAGAGAAAGAAAAGAGGATAAGGTTTGGAGTTGTTAGTTTGTTGAGGCTTTGTTGTCGTCAGATTAGTGCTCACTCGAGTATATCGGTGCTCTTTATGATAGTTGTGAGTTTGTAACCATGAAGCGGTCGTTTAAGGTATGTTTGGGATGATGATCGGGCTTCTCACCATTTTGAACATCGGAATTGTTTTTGCGGCCACTGCCACGATCGTCATCTAAGTGTTCCTGGAACCTCCTCCCAGTAGGAGCGGATGGCTTTTCTTGTCATTGTCACTTGTCTTTGCTCTTGCTGGGATGTTCGGCAGTTGCGCTGCCAAGTCGGATTGAAACACGCTTCACATCACATCAAAAGAAATGATATTCGGTCCTATGTTAGTGCTTGGACTCCTGTTCGCCTCGCGTGGATCTCAAGGTCATCTGCGCAGTTGGTCGCATAATAGGAGCATAGATGAAACCAAGTTGGAACTTCCAAGCGATCACTTTCCCACAATATACCCCTAGCATGCAGTTACATGAATTTATTTTAGAACTTGGTGAAGTGTGAAGTAGGTGGGATCCATGGGGTAAAACGCCTCGTGATGGATCCCAATAAATGGTAAATAGATCAAACCCGTGGGACTCAAAGGGTCAAAAGGCAAAAAAAATAACACAATACAACCCCAAATTAAGAGAGAACCAAAAGAATACCCTAGCTAGTGCCTAGAGCGAAAACTAATAACATTACTCATGAAAAAATCTAAATCATAAGACTCAAGCTATAATAAAAACTAAAAATTTTCAACAAGTTTATGGTACAGTCTAATACCTTTATATCTAGTACAAATAAATAACACATGCTCTTCATACTCAACTTTTCTCCTATCACATAGATTACAATTACATTCACTACTTTCAATATTCAACCAAAGCACTTCCTCAAGTCCAAGAATATGAGATATTGTTCTATGACGAACAATAATATGACGAAAAGATATAGAGATATCTGAGAATAAACTAGTTGTATTATAATGAAGTCTCATCAAGTGATTTTCTCCCACATCATACATGGTTCTATTCTCTTCTTTTTGCTTCCAACAAGTTAACGAAACTTGAAATAAAGTTTGAAATTGAAAGATTTCAATTGAAAGTTACACTCATAGTCAAGGAGAATTGTGAAGTTTATGCTATTTCACTTTTAGCTTCTTTGCGAATATAAATTGCTTGCTAGACCTTGAAGTCTGTTTTATAAAATTCAAAATCTGCGTACTAAGGTCGTGCAATAGTACTACGTATTATTTTAAGGAGATGAGAAAATCATACACTACATCGCTCAACTTCCTGTGGTGGACGTCGAAAGGGAGGTGTCCTCACAGTTGCGGAATCGTCTACCACTGTCAAAATGCCAAATTCTGCACTAGCTACCATCAGTGCACCATTTCCATGAAGCGATCCTGATCAAAGACCGAAGGGAGAAGCCAAAAATTTGGATCAAACCGGACCAACGAACAGTTGTAAAAACTGTTGTTTTGGCAGGAATATAGTAGCCCCCACAGTTATAGCCTGAAAGTTGAACCATGGCAGAGGCCGTGGAATCGGACTTGGCATCCGGTGATTATCGGTTAGACGGCTTGAAGAATGGGCTTCTTAGAGAAAGTAGGAATCTGATACGGGTCGCATTCTGCCAACAACGATAGAAATTTCATCTTGAAGCCTTTTTCAGCAGCCGTGGGTCGAAGGAGCAAAAGAAGTGTTCATTCCGCGCTCGTAGCACTAGTCACTCTTCCAGCAACCATCAACTCCTGCAAAGATTATAAAAACAAAATCTGTGCTTGAAACTTCCACAAAGAGATTGTTAACATGCTTCAGTCCAGTTTGATCCTGGATATGCATTGATCTCACTTATTTACTGTGATCAGGACCAGCCTCATGTTTAGGTTGCAGCCATTTCTTCACACAAGCATAAATCTGGGGAATTATGTAGTATAGCTCCTTAGCATAAACACCATATAGCGTAATCAGCACGTGGAGTAGCTCTACCACGTATTATCCGAAATCTGATGTCTGGATCTACTGGTTTCTAGTAGATTAATATAATTTTGTTCACAATCAGCGGAAAAAGTGGTCCCTGTCAAAAGAGAATTGGCACAAGGCCAATAAAGAGCTAGTTGCGTAGATGATATGAAAGAGTTTCATGAGACTGGATGCTAGAGTGAGATCCATCAGAATAAGCCGCTCAATTTTTTTAGACAAAGAAGACTGAATTTGGGTAAGGATTTCGATTGACCAGGAGAGCGATAGTATCTTCCGACTCCTTATATCTCTCGCGATGAGTCAGAAGGATATCAACGAAGTACCTTCGTCGTTGTTCTCCACCTTTTCCTCCGGCAAGTTCATCCGCATAATTCATTTGTTTAATTTTCAATTTTGGACAAGACCTGGCGGGTGTAGACGCTCCACGCGTAGGAACTGGTCCGCCACCTTGAAGGCTGGAAATGGTTCCAGATGCATTTTGGCGATCTCTTCGTAGTCTCTCCGTTGAGATAATCTCAGAGGCAGCGCCATCTGCGAACCTCTTCCCGAAGAGCATAGAAGCCAGACGCACAGTTGTCAGGAGCATCGCCCATCCACTGAGTCCCCTGCATGAGCTTTCAACGAGATTGCTCGCAAGGTGTTCGCCATATCATCCTATCGAAGCTGCACGAGACTATTCAAGCACAAGAAGTTGAACTCTAGAGCTGTAAGTGCGTTTTTTCTCAGAATCAATTTAGACTTTTCATTTCCAGCTTAAAGTAATCAGTAAACTTGATGATGAAGTTGGTATTGGAGTATTGAAGATCATGACATCGTGCAGCTGTGCGCTGATCTGTTATTATAGAGTTGCATCCGAGGGAGATGAATACGTGTAAACTATTTATGACAGTGAGTTAGTCATGGACCCTTAACCCATCATTCCATACAAAGAGAATATCAACAATACTGCTAACGATAATTGTCTCAACTCTAACTACTTATATGAATTGAAGATATATCGGACCAGGTGATACGTATCTCCACGACACAAGAGGAGGCAAAATTTGGCTCTGGCTTCTTTTTTGTAGAAACGACAAGGGAAGGTCAGTAAGTTAGTAAGTTAGTCCCCAATATGAAAATACCTGTAAGTTTTGTTAGTAATAGAATAGATGAGTGGAAATTAAAAAACGTCGGGAATTTCTTTCGAAGAGTGTCTCACTGCTCCGGATTGTTGCGGTCTTATTTTTTTGAAATGGAGAATACAACTATAAACCAATTACATTTGTTTCGAAGTCCACCTCACCTTTCTTTATGGAGCTGATATGTGTAATTTGTCTGTTTTGTGAAGAGGGGTCGTTGCACTTTCCCAATGGAAGAGGAATGTGACACACTGATGTCATCTGCATCACAGGGAACATGTAGACGTTTGCCTGAGCTCATGATTATCGAACGAAAGAAATCTCGAACTTGTAGATACTCTCAAGGTGTGCTGCTGTTTACATGCACAGGTCATTTGATAAGTGACCCAGGCCATGAAGGAGGAGGTAGGCTCTTTTAGAGAATGTTGGGAACTCCCCTCTTTCGGAGAGCATTTAGATCGGAGGAGAAGGGGCTGGTAAAGTCCAAGAGTTTGGCTTAACGCTAGAGCAGGTACAATTGAGCAATTTTTACTTGTGTATCGTTCTGCTTGAAGCCCGATTAATTTATGGTCTTTCGAATATACCGCAGGATGACGATAGTCCTTTGATGAAGTTGAAGCCACCATTAATATATTCCTCCGATACAAATGCGAGCGACCTGAACATCGACGGCCCGCATGTTTCTCCACCACAGTTGCCAGGAATCGAGGCGAACACTTCCCCATCCATCAAATTTAACCTCAGCTCCGATATCATCCAGTCTGGCTCTCCGTTAAAGCCAGACCTCTTCGTTAAATTCAGCAATCTATAACTCAGCCAAAAAGCCGAAAATTCAGCTGTAAATCTGCTCCACCGCGACGTATGGCAACTGCTATCAGCTTCGGATCCCAGTTTTCTGAAGTGTCGGACACACATACGGCTGTAGCAACAGTAATAATGCACATCGAGGAGTTGGACTGGAAAAAAGTGGACAGAAAAATAAAGTGGCTAATTATCTTTGAGGATGTTTTGCACCCATCCAGGTTTTGATGCACAATGCCAAAGTTTTCCCGGCTCTGCAGCTAGACGACTCCAGGATATACGGGAAGCAGGAGACACAAAGTAGCTGGCTACCCCAAGCGAAACACCTGGTTCGTTTACATCAGCCTTGGATCCTCTGTCAGAAAGGGATGGAGAAGAATGATGAAGAGAAGGTAGTGACAGGCGTCTTAGAATAGGATGGCCGATTCTTGTTCTGCGGTAAATACGGGAAGAAGCTCCTCATTCTGTTTTTACGGGCCCTTCAGGTGAACAGAAGGTGACAGAAGTAGGTCTTCCTGTAGCAGAATTCGCCATGAAACCTGTCATGCGATGAACAGCCCTTTACCAGACAGAGTCGGTGGACATTGGGGAGCAAGAGGATGACGAAGACCCTAAAGATGAAATTTCTTTAATGAGACGACGACAAACTCGACTTATCATTGGAGTGCACTCAAGCTACTAGACTAGAAATAGATAACAAGGATACAGCAGAAGAAGTTTTGAGTGCCACAACAGAAGCCATTTCCAGCAGATCCAAAGGTATGAAGAAGACGGCTCACAACACGAAAGGTATAGCGTGGGAAGTCAAAATCGATGCCGGTTATGAGACTTTGGTCGGTTTGCAGTTGTCCGCCTCTGGGGTTATGGAGACGACGAACGTGACCACTGAAAACAGATTCCTCCGTCAAGTTGCCTCTGGTATCCTTAACATCAACAGCCTTCTGCTTGGTTTCGAGTTCCAGAATCGGACACACTTCTGGGTTTAGCGCAAGTACTTACCCTCCGCTCTAACATTCTGACTTGTGGATCTCAGGGAATCAAAAATGGCCCGTTTCTGGTGGTGTCATGTCTCCTCTTCGTCTCGAGATTTAGAAGGACTGGGCTTCTCTTGATTTTAAGAACGGTGCGACAGCTTCTACCAGAAGCAGCAGCCGGAATTTTTAGTGAAAACAGGTGCTCGTGTCGGCGGGATCTCCATCTACAAATGAAGGTGAACCCAGAGGAACTGGCATTGAGAGCAGACGTTTCTTTGGTTGTGGGAGCCGTAGGTCGGACTCGCCATGGCTATTGAAATCTGCTTGGAGGACAGGAATGGCACGCAGTATTTGCTACAGAACTTTATGTTGTATCATTCATTTCTCACATGGAAAAGTGAAAGAAGCTCGCGACATCTGACCAAATGGATTGTGTCGGAATCTTAACGCCTACTTATAACATTGTGTTTACATTTGGCGCCACGAGAACGGCTTTTCTAATCCAGAGAACGAATTGTAGACGAAAATCCGATCAGTCAATTCGATATAACTGTTCTATGAAGTTATACCCTTTTGTTCGTACAGTCAGGCCAGGAAGATTTGAAAGGTTCGGGAGTAAGCCAATGCATGTCAGTATGGCTGTGTTGCATGGTGGGAAAGCTAACCTACATATAGGTTAGAAGGAATGCATGTACTGCATTCCTTCTTTTTTGGGGAACTCGGTTACTAGCTGTCTTGGCTTGTAACTTTACACGAATGGTGTTCAGTAGCTCCCATCGTTCTTTTCACTTCATGTTTTTCTGAAAGCTAAAATCACCGTCCAAATTCATGTCTGACTGGGAAATGACCATGTGTACTGCAGTCACTTAGTTATAAGTGGACTTCAACCATAAAAGAGAGCTACAAAAGTTGGCCTTTTCTCTGCCTTGTCAGAATGTCCACAGAAGCAGTACAGTATTCTTCTGACTTCAGACAAAGTGAACAGAGTTTTTCACCGTTATCTGCTTGTCTGCAGACAAGCAAAGGACCAAAATGCACGAGATGGAATAATGCTGACTGAGCTGAGTCCCCTCTCGTATACAGGTCATGGTCGCCAGGTTGAGGCGAACTGTCGTGAAGGCAGAGCTGAATCGAAGCTTCAGAGCGGACCAATTTCAAGAGCCATAACACAGAATTCAGATGTTCGGGTACTATACAACCTCTCTTTTGACATAGCGTGGCATGGTTTTGCGTGTCTGTGCATGGCTGGCCAAGGCTAATGTGGTTGTGAGGGCAGGACGACGAGGGCACAATCAATTCTGGACCTTCTCCTCACAGCCTTCATCGTCTCTTGAGCTGAAATTTATTGAACAAGGACAAGGATACCGTTAGCAGTCTTCGTTCCTTCTCGTAAACATGTACTTCACAGGCCTGGAAAACGCTGACCATGCTCATAACTGAATCTACAATGCTCGACCGACTGTTGTTGACGTAATTCAACTCTCGCTCGCTAATCTGGCAGTACTTTCCTACAGAGAAGGGCAGCAATGATGATGTGAAGTGGATCCCTAGAGCTTAGTCATCCATCCATCCAACACAGCAGTCGCAGGCCTGCGCGTTGCCTGCCTCGTGACCAAATCCACTTGGAGTGACACTCTGTAAAGTGCTCATCTGTCCAGTAACAAAACTAGAATAACGTGGCTCAAACAGATGTAGAAAGTGCTGAAAGTTCGGGGAAGTGAGACGGAGACAGAGATCTGCGTCATAAGGTTGCGATCAGGACGGGATTAGGACAAATTTTGGATTTGGTAGACGGATCGAGGTCTCAGAGAAGCATCCAAAGGCAGCTTCATCTGATTGATTACTCCGAACTCCGAGGAGGAGGTTTCGTCGAAGGGCTTGGGCTTCCCTTCGAAGGCCGGCAACACGTCAAAAGACTGCAAAATTTTGGCGATCAGGATCTGAGCTTTGTGAGTCACGAGTCCCTGCCCGGGAGAGAACCTGCGGATGCCGCCGAGCACATCGGACTGCAGCTGAATCTTCTCGGGCTCCTCATGCTCCTCGTCTAGGTCGGCGAAATGTCGCTCCGGGCGGAACTCGAAGGGGCTGTCCCAGACATTGGGGTCCGTATACACTGCAGGAATGTGAGCGATGACGGTAGTTCCTGCAGGCAGATGGTACATGCCGTCGCTCACATCCAGAGGCTTGGTGGTCGTGTGCGGCAGAGTGAGCATGACGGGATGGTTCACGCGCTGCGTCTCCTTCACCACGGCCTTGAGGTACGGCATCTTCTCGATGTCGCTCTCGGAGATGTTCTTGCTGTCGCCCACGACGCGGTCAATCTCGGCCTGGATCATGGCCTGCATGTCGGGGCGGTAGATCAACTGGCCCAGCGCCCATTCCACCGTCGTCGAGGTGCTGTCCGTGGCGGTGAGCATGATCTCGCTCAGGATCCACGTGATCTCGCGATCCGTGAGCCGGTCCTCGCCCTGCAGATTGCACAGAACGTCGAGGAAACTATGCATCAGGTTCGACCTCTTCTGGTCCTTGGGCTGGAAGCGCTTGCGGATGATTCCCACCGTCTGGACGCAGCATTCCTCCGCGCGCTTGGAGCTCTCCGCGAACTCGATGTCCGCCATCGTGTCCGGCATCTCGCGCAGCACGGGCAGGTAGTCGGAGAATCGGCTGGAAATCCCTAGCCTCACCACGTCCTTGAACGCCGTGAGCAGCCGCACCAGCTGGTGGTCCATGAGCCCGGTCGACAAATCGACGACGCTGCCGAAGCAAGTCGTGAAGAGAAGGTCCAGAATTCCGAACCGCAGATGGGACCGCGCGTTGACGACGAAGCACTTATTCGTCGACGCCTCCTGCTTCAGATTCTCCATCATCACGGCCAGAACGTGGTCCCGGTTGGACTCGCGCAGAGGCCGAAAAGACGTCTTGCTGCTCGTGCTCATCAGGTACGACGACAGGATCCTTCGCAGTCGTCGCCACTGCGGGCTTTTGTGCGGCGGAATGTTCACGTACCGCCGGTACCCTGTGGCCGATTCGCCCATGCTCACCGCTCCGCCGTGCAGCATCCTGCCTGGCCTGGACTCGAATGTGTCGGGAGGGTTCTTGGACGAGAAGAGCTCCTGCACGACCTGCGCCGAGGTGATGATCACGGTCGGGTGCGAGCCCACCCACAGCGCCATCACCCCGCCGTAGTTGTCACAGACCTTGGCCAGCATTCGGCACGGGCTCGGCCCCAGCTGCAGCGCGTTGCCGAACACTGGCCACGGGCGAGGCCCCGGCGGCAGGCGCTTGGCGGGCCTGTTGTGCGCGATCTGCAGGGCCAGCTTCGTGCCATGGACCACGACCACCACGCCGATGATCGCCCCCAGACTCAGTTTCACGCCGTCTTTGAGATTCATCTCGCCCCCGCTCACGACATCTCCAGTCCTCGAGCAGGCCGATGGCTTCGTCTTCGCTCGCGCGCTCCACCATCAGACGCCACCAACTTCGTCATCGCGCATTCGTTCTTGCCATTCGTCCTCCTCCCGACCTGGGCTCATGTGCTCGTCCTCGACAGGAACCGCGTCATTGCTCCAATTGATGGCCCGGCCAATCACGGCGCCCCTCGTTCTTGTGCCTGGTCACGATTGCTGAGGCTCGTCCGGGCGAATTCCATTTCGCAGTCCTCTAAGCTGAGAAGCAGCCCGATGCGATGGCCGACAGTGGAATCGCTCGGGACTCGGAGGTGCTCGAAGGCTTAGCTTCGATGTAGACGGTTGAGCTCGGAAGAATGCTGCAGGACCAAATCGATCTCCGCTGACGTGAACAGCAGGTACGGGGCTGGCCGCATCCAGTAGCGAGGGAGAAGACGAGAGACCGGAGGAACTGCGTCCGCTGTGATCACCACTTCTTGCTCAGGTCGCGAGAGATGCGAGGTGAGTGATGGGCCTGATGATTCTTCCCCGGACTCAATCTTGTCGCGTGTAGGTCAAGGCCTCGACGCCTGCAAATCCCTAAAGACGTAAAGCCAACTTTCGACTCGGTCGGATTTAACCGACCAGACAATGCTGCTTTGAGAAATCTGAGAACGCTGGGCAAGAGATTTCGATTTTTCGAGAATGGATTGGCTTCAAATCTGAGCCTATTCATGGTGTGCGGTGGTATGAGGTTTTTGAGTTCCACTGTTCCATAAGAACAGTGATGCTAAAAGAACATTGTCGTCGTCACATTCGGACCTCCCGCGTTGATGCTTGACTTTCCCGATTCTGCATGATTCTATCGGAGAAGATGGGCTTGTGTTGATCGACCTTCGGACTATTGGCAGTTCACGAGTGGGCGTGCGGGGCCGATGTTGACGGTCGAGCAAGCACACTGGTTAAAGGGGACCCTTGGCAGCAGTTGTTCACAACCTCGTCACCTCTCAAATGAGAGAAGACAAATTTCATTTGCTTTCGTTGACATTGTGGCAAGTGGAGATTCACTTAGCCTTGGAAGGAAGAGAAAAGTTCTTACAGAGTTTCGAAACCTTCGGAGGAGATGCAAGACACTTATTGCGCAATTCAATGAGACCAGTGTGTGGCCAACGTAAGTCATCCGGGTTGAGGCAAACTGCATCGGAAGGTTCAGACATCTGAAGCGGAAATGTTTAGGCTCCTCCTAGAGGTGTAGTAGTTTCATTTGTAACGGGTTGTAAGTGATTTAGCTTTTTTTCGTCTGTTTGCAAACAAACATCCAGTGAAAGGGAAAAACCAGTGTATATATATATATATATATATATATATACACACTGGTTTTTTAATGTTTTAGCTTACGTACGTTATTCCTTCTGGACATTGTCTGACCCTGTCAGACAATGTCATTTTTCGTCAGACATTGTTTCGTTTGGAAAAAAAATGTCTCGGTCCGCCGACACTCTTCTGCTCGTATTGTACAATGGTGAATAAAAGACATATCAACTCCAATAACGTGATAGAAATCGCTAAGTATCTAAAGTGTCCTTGTACGATCATAACTCAGAAATTCAGATATGGGTCAATCACAAACGTCATTTATCCTGGAATCAACCGTTCGGTCACCTTTCAGTTGTTAATCGAGCTCGCAGCTTTCACATCCTGTATTCTAATACCACATAGTTCTGTTCTTCGAGAACAAACATGCTACATAGAGTGAACCCAGTATCATTGCTGTATTCATCGCAGACTGTCCGTGCCCACTTCGCAATCAAATCCTTTCCAACCTCCATGTTTCTACACTTTAGCCTCAAGACCAGATTTTATGATTCATCCATACAATGAAACTGCCACGTAATCTTCAGGAGACGATGATATCATCTTCGTGACTTTATTTGCTGTAACTGGAGCAATAAATGTTCTGAAGAAGCTTAGCTACTGTGAACATGACATTTGACGCAGACGCAACTCTGTTCTAGAGAATGGTGTTTGGTCCTATTTTACATGATGGTACAAAAATAACTACACCTTGTGGAGGAACCGCAATCATAAAAAAAAATGAACTTTCTAGGCTGAAAGCGGTGAAGTATAGAATGCGTCCAGACCTAAGAAGAACTGCTAAGAGACAAGAAGAACGTGTCTACTTGGCAAGCTTTATGTTTCCAATCATCCCTCTGATTGCTGAATACGTACCTACAGATCCTGTAATAATCCCGATGAACACAACAACAATTAGTACAGGATATTCTGCTGATGATATTCCCCCTGCTCGACCGTATATTTGTAGGTAACACAAGCAAGGAAGGATGACCGCCACCGAGATACTCAAAAAAGATCCAATGAAGCCCATCATCAGGCCGAAGAAGGGAATCGCAAGTGCGACTACGATTGTGCTTAAAACGAGGAGACTTCTAATACAGACAGATCCCACCATGAATTGCTTGGACTTTGGAGACCAGGGCAAAAACTCTTCCAAGGCTACTGCAAGTGGGGTAATGGTCAATGCAAACTTGGCGAAGGGGTTCACGAGAATAATCCATATTGCGATTCTAGAGGAGATCAAAGTCTTTGGCAAATTTAGAGTGACTTGCGATTCCACTTCGTCTCCAAACATGGTGTAGCCCATGACTCCTACGCCTCCATACATGATGGTAACGGCAGTAAAGCAGACGATAAGCACCTGCCGTAAAAACCATGAAAGATATTAGTTGCGTCCCCAGTAACGATGACCAATAGAAAATTATGCAGTTGATTGGTCTTCCATTGCACTGAAAATGAGGCTCAAGAAGAAACCTCAGAAACAGGTTAGTAATACATACCCAGACTAAGACCACCCAATTTCTCAAAGACAAACCTAATGAAACCACGGACCTGCATTCCATGCAGTGCAGAAAGACTGCTGCTCTCAACAAAGAAGACCTGCTAGGTTCGGAGTAGAACAGACATACCTTTGAAAATTGCTCTTGGTTTTTCATGGATCTGTAGATGCTGGGGAAAACGGCATGCCCACAGAAGCAGAATGCACATATCCCCACGGCAACTGGAAGTCCACTGAAATTTACAAGAGTTCCCGTATGACTGAACCCTACACCTTCAAAGGCTCCCACATATCCCACTGTGGATAATATCGCCAAGACTGCTATCACTCCTCCGGCTGATATGTACGACAAGACGCCCAAATCCCGTAACCACACCGTCGGCATAAAGATGAGTCCTGAAAAGATGATGTACAATTGATGCGCACTGATTCTCGAATTGCCAATGTTGACGTCCGTGAATGGGAAAATATTGGCCAGATTATCTCCTTCCATTATCAGGTACTCCACCGTAACGCAGTAGAGTTCGAAGTACAGCATTATGGAGACCAGTAACCGTCCTTTCCGCCCAAAGGCTGCTTGGCCAATATCTGGGTAGGAGACAATTGAAGGGTCTGCGTCCAGGCACTTTCGAAGAAGGATCCCTGTGTAAAGACATATGACAGCGAACAATAGAAGAAAGCCCAAAGTAGACCAACCTCCCTGCGAGAGAGCGTATGGTGTGGACAAAATTCCAACTCCTGACAAAGAGGAAACGCAGGAATTAGAATGTACTGATTTATGTTGCCGCTCATCATTGGGATGACATCGACTGTAGTCCTGACACCTACACATATGGACGATGCACGCAATCTAACAATGTAGACAGCCAAAGTAAATCCGATACAATGACATCTCAAATCTAGAGGGAGACTGATGTTAGCCATGGCTCCCAAATCCACGCATCTTACGAGGAAGAACCACAATCCAAAACCAATACGTCCAGGTTGACAGTTTCCACCTTGAAGCTAACACGTTGAAACATGTGCCAGATACTAGACGGCAACGCAGGGGCCATGATCATTACTATACCTGCAAGAACATTCGTTCCATTCAAGCAGGCCTGCACGAATGAACTCTCGCCTCCCACAAGCACCTTGTCATCTTCTTCTCTAACGTCTGCTGCTTCATTCGCGACCAGAGATTGCTCGTCCTCTTTGATGGAACGACTTCTTGAATATCCAAGTTTCCCGCTCGTCCTCGCAGACGCACTCCGTAGCAAGGGCTCCTTCAGAGGGTCATCCCACTTTGAATGCAGGAGCACAGATTCTTTGGAATCCGCGTCCAATTGGTCAGCGCTGATACTATCGCCATTCAAGTTCGCGTCACAAACTTCCTCACGATACTTCCCGCTAAGCGAGCGACTGTATATTTCCATCTGTCTTTCAAAGCTTTGAGGCCACAGAGCGCCTCTTCTTGAAAGAGAAGATGAAACACGAGACAGCGCCGAAGGTGATCTCCCGAAACTTGCCTTTATGGGAATCGCATCGGCTTGCGCCAAACGATGCTCGGGTATTAGATTGAGATGCGGCACCTCGTCGCCATCCCGTGGAGGAATGTCAGCACTTTCTGCCCGTCCTCCACACTGTGTAGAAGAACTGTTCGTGTTGCCGTTGCCAAGTTCTGGCACATTGTCTTCTTCACTCATCTTGAAATTTATAACAAAAATCGTGAGTTCTGCCGGATCACAGAGTTAACAGAGCCAATGATTGTCACCAAATGTGCAAGTGGAGGAACACTGCAGAGTTTGCCTACATTGTCCGCACAGGACCGGTTTGTAAGCCACACTTTACTCGCACCAGTAAGTGAGGTAATCAGGAGGAAGTCTGGATCGAATAAGTGACAATGAGGTTTTCCTCCACTACGTGCGTCGCATGATGATCTAAGGTCTCCCCATCAACAAATGCGCCCTCGAATCCGACATCCAAACTTCGCTGATCTTAACGAGCCCGCAGAGTGAACCACAATCACCTCAGACGTCCGTAACCTGCCGTGAACACAATTCCAGCTCATAAGTCCAGGTGCAATGCTCAGAGTTCGTATCGTGAACCTCAAATGTCAAAGACCAGCCAGCCCTCAGCATTCATACTCTCTCCTAATTTCCCGCCGACAACCCCTGGCATGTGGGAAGTGCCAATCTGCGGCAAATCATCCCGTCATCGACCATATATTGCAATGGATATGACTCCTAGAGCTAAGAGATGAAATCCCTGCTGCGTCGAGTGAAGACAACAGATTCACACGCACGCACTGATGACGAAAGTAACAGATCTGACGCTCGTCCAGACCTGAAGAGAGGGCAGGCGCCCACCACGTTGCACAACGTTGTTCAGGTTGGACTATTACGTTAGGCAGTCGTCGACTGGTAGGGTGGAAGACGGACAGCGCACTCTCTGCATATAGAGCACACCGCGCCTTGACTCTCGACTGAGTAGAGCTCATGGTAGGTCGAGAAGAGGTCCAGGCCTACACGGTTACTCTGGTGCAGTCTGTAAGATTCCGGGGATTAGCTCGTTTGCCAAAAGACCCGTGTCCTCCAGAAGATCTGCCGCAGTGCCCTTTACGAAGCCCCGATGAGCGTCCAGGACTCACGTGGATTTAAATGCAGAGTAAAGGAATCCACAGTTCGCTTTCATGAGTGAAAATCGGGCCCAGCAGCAGACCCTGCCACCAGACACGACGAGGAGGGCAGTCCAAGCGCCTCCCCCAAGGGCAAAACACGCTCGCGCCAGATAGGGGTCGAACCTATGACTTTCTGCTTAGGAAACAGACGCTCTATCCACTGAGCTACAGGCGCCGCGTGCAAGCATATGGAAGCCTACTACTCAGAATCTTAAACAAACTTCTAGGAATAATTGAGCACGAGTTTTATTATCTGTGTCCAAGCACAGAGATATTAAACTCGAGGTTACCCCACTTCAGCGTCTAGCACTTCTCGGCCTTTCGTTCCAAAGTCAATCTCTAAACAATTTTATCCGAAGACGATCAGAAATATAATAACATGAGACTTCTACAGACCACGACAATTGTCGAATAAATGTGGAAAGCATGTCACTCTGTTGAAGGACAGCGTGCGAAATCTAGCACCGTCACGTGCCGTGTATGCTGACGAAGAGGAGGCAGCTGCAAGAACCGTAAGATCTACTCACTCACGACGAACGATGATGTGGCCTCCTAAAATGATACTCGTACTCCTTAAAGGGACGGTGATGTCAGAAGGCCTCACCGTCGCCGTATGAGACAACGGACGAAGCGACACTTGGTTCATGCTGACGTTCATAAACATGAGCAGATGTGACAAACGTCTATACGAGCGAACACAGAATTGACAAAACGACATGAGAATTGGGCCGACCACGTCTTTGAAAAGCCAAAATGTTCTTACGGGCAATTGCAGCCTAAATAACATGCTATCTACAATCTTACACCCCCAGCAACATAAAAGCTCGAACTCAACAGGAACGACTGAAATTAACGTAGAATCCACTGAACACCCCACTGTTCAATCACTTCCATGACACTCGATCGATCCACGAAACGTATTTACACTCTTTCCTTCAGACGAAGCTTGTTGTTCAGCAAGAAATTCTAAAAAGCACGTTCATATCCTACCTAAAGAATTCGCTGGACAGTCTGAGGTGATGATCTACAGCCACCTCATGTCAGCCCTCATGAACGAACGACTTGAAATAAGTCACCACCGCGCTTACACCAAAAGAACAGTAGTTCTTTTGAATTACCTGGACGCTGAAAACACCCATTACGGAGCTCGAAGCAAGTTTGCCTCGCACTTATTACATGCAACATGCACGTGCTGCACGAGATTATCTGGTCAATACGTGACCAGATAGTCGAAAAGACGCTCGATACTATGCAGTGATCCGAAATCCAGGGCCAGGCTCTGGGCATACTCCCAACTGCCGTTCTCGAGTCAGAAGGCGGTAGGACCGATACACATTCTCAGACCTTCCCCCAAAATAAATAGAAAAGAGTTTGCACCTAAACATCTCATGACCCCGACTGGTCACAAGCTTCGCACAGGCCCCCACCACACAAGACAACCCCGATGTCTACCGCGCATACTGTTGCGGGACGCCGCTCGCAGCCGATAAAACCCCCGGCCTATCGCTGCTTCTTTTGAAACTGGTTTGTTGAGTCGAAAGTTTTGGAGCGACACGAGTGCTCGCGTTCTCAGATGAGCATGACTAGCGGCAAGACCAGGAATGAGAGATCTATCGAGACAAGTGCTCTCTCGTACCCGACCCGACCCGACGGTCGCTCCTCTCACAATCCAAGCCGTTCCAACACCAAACCATGCAATGAAGCTCAGCTCCATTTCATGAGCTTCGCTGCATGGTAGCACCCCCGAGAGCATCCAAACCTCCAGAGTGGACAAGTCTTACGAAACAGTCTCCAAGTGGAAGGATGTTAGTAGAAAATGAAGGAAACAGTTGACCTGAATCAACATTGAAAGGAGGAAGGCTGCGACATTTTGAATTGAATGTTAGACACCGGTGTACATCACCAAATCGGGACATGTTGGGAATCTTATGATCGACAAAAGTCGTTTATAAGACGCCACCCGTCGACGCTTTGGAAATAGCTTTCCAGATCAAGACTTGGAAATACATACGATTGTACCCGACAATAGAGGTCAGGTGGATGGACAAAGAGCTTGTTCAGACTCCTGGACTCAAACTCATCTATAGGGCTCCTGGCATCAAAAGTTGGATGTGTTACATAACTATGCAAGATGACAATCGGTGAACAGGAGAACATTTTCGAGCCAACAGTCCATGATGGATCAAACATAAGTATATATATTCATTGTCGTCCGTTTATTCTCACGCAAAATCACGCAATGATGTAACCGACTTACAGGCTTTCGAGTCTCCTGTGCTCGTCTGCCGAATTGTATCGAGCGTAAGCTGCAGCAGAATCGGAAATAGGAATTAGAGAAGGTCTCTCTTCTCCTCGTACTTCAACAGGAAGCTCAAATGACTTCAGGATTTGAAGGTCCTTGCAGTGTTGATCAACTGGAGACAACCAATTACTCGTATTCCAGTTCTGGGTGTCCAGAGTCCTGAGGCTCATATCTGCTTAAAGGCACGGGTTCCGTCAGTATATATACGCAGACAATATCACCTTCTCCTTGTCAGGAAGCTGTGTGGTTCATTTGTAAGAGATATGCATATAAAAAAGCTCTGAATATAATAATGTGGTTCAGCACATAACACAACCAGGACCACAATCACAGGAGATCCTTAGGACAGAATTGGATTGCATGGATACCTATGATCCTTTCTCTCCATCCTCCGAGGCCGTGAGTGTGGTGAGAGAAATATTTTCCCTCTCGGAGCTTCTACATTCTTCTGGGTCCACTCTCGTGATACACTCGAGCTCCGCGCCTCCAGATTACTTACACTTTTGCCCGGCCCCACTAAGACTGACAACTGAATAGCTGACCAGAAGTCTCCGACTGAAATATCATAAATTTAATTTTATCTAATTCCAACAGAAAGATTGAGCCAAATTCCATTGATTTCATTCGTTGTTTGTAATTGCAAATGTTTGAGAATCCAGCAACCCCTGCTAACTGCAGCTATCAAGATTGACCTGATAGGACTTCACCTCCGCCTTCGGAAACTATGAGCACCGGACATGCAATACTAAGAGTATGAGAATGGCCATCCCAGTCCAGGACTTCACGTAAGTAGGCTTCAGATTTAGCCATGGAGTTGTGATTTGTGTCTATTTTTACCAGACAATCTCGGATCTCGTGTGTCATGACCGAATCCTTCAAATTTTCGTTATTGACGTAATATGCCTCGCATGTGGAGGCCAGGAGTATTCATGGGGAGAAAAGAAGCCCCTTTCTTTGTCTGAGAGTGCCCAAGGCATCCCCGAATCTTGCAGGGCGGCTAAACTCCAAATATAAGACCTCGCCAAAAAACGACGACCATTTTAAAAAACGAACCCACATTAGCATTTGAGTTTGTAATTACGTTGTAATCAGAAAATTCAGAAGAAATCGAAAAAAACAAACCAAAGGAAGACATCGTAGAAAAAAATATATACATAGTGAAACAACTACAAGGCCCAGCTTGCTTGTAAAATCGATCAAGGCCAGAAAGAGGTGTTCCATCAAGTGTTAGGCACCGAGCAAATAATTACGATTTAAGGAAGCAGAAATCCAGTTCTCTGGAACTCTGCACTAAGAACATAAATAAGAAACAGCAATCATTAAAAAAGAAATTCCCTATAGTCTCCATGCACACTTCTGGCCGCCATTCTGTGGCCGCCAAAGGCATGTGACGAAAACAAAATTTTAAAAAAAAGGTGCGCAGCCCCTCTTTTTTCCCTTGTGGTTCCGAAGGAAACTTCTGTGGCTTTCCACCGCCCGAAGGGTTTTCAGCCACATTTATTTCAAGCAAGGGGGGCTACCAGCGGTAGAGGCCCGTACGGCCGAATAGTAACAGAAATACAGGCCTGAAACACGCACATTAAAATTCTGCCCAGGACAGCAAGGAAGTGTGTACACCATTATTCTAAGTCTGTTACATCCGCAGATAAGACTACGGCAACTGGGGTGAAAGACTGGACCTACTAAATGTCATTGTACTTTCTCAGGTTCATCTTAACGACATACCGTTCTAATCATGGAGGGTAATGTCCAGTGATCTGGTTTGACACACACCCTACCATGTGAAGTTGTGTACATAATAACAGGCTGCAACCACTACACTTTCTGTCATCGTATGGAAAAGGACTTTTTCTGTACTTAACTACGATGAAAGGAGTCGTCTATTGTACCACTGAACATCACATCCTCCAATCATATTGCTATATGATTCTTCTTTCGAATTCATACCACTGAAGAGATATTCGTATTATACGCGACCTCAGCATTTGGGCCCAATGACATCTTAACCGTAGTGAGAGGAAAATGATCAAGAAGAGGAGTTTTTTTTTTCCTTTTCTCTTTGTGCCACGTAATTGTATTACTGAATATAAGGAAAAGATACAGCACGATGATCACCCAGGACTACATAATGTTCCATGTTACAGAAGCTAAGTTGGAAATAATACGATCCTTTAAATAAAGGACGGCAAAACTCAAATTCCATGATAGAAGGAAATAATATGTATCTCTTTCTAGAAAGTACGAGTTGTTGCAATCAGAAGAAGGCAAAGGCTTTAGGATATATTTCTTTGGACGATTTGTTGTTTGTAGAACAGAGTCATCTAAACGATGTGAAAGCATGAAATGAAGTACATACCAGTGGGATGCTTTTGAGGCATGGCTCCATCTTCCGCGTTTAGTTTCCTCACATAGCGTCTACCGTACTTTAGGTTATTTTATGTGGATGGGTCTTTTCTTGATTCTCACTTGGTCTACTTACCTTCTTGTGCTACTTTACATCCGACGTCATGCCTTTTTGTCTTAAAATTTCTCTTAGCTTAACTACTGTTAATTAGCTCATGAGTCGACGAGATCTTCTCGTAAACAGTGAAAAGAAAAACAAATTTCGGAGTCCACAATTCTCTTGTGCTCTAAAGCACCTAGTTCTGCAACGGAACACTGTACTTGCTCTAGTTTAGAGCAAGTACAGTGTTATTAGTATTCTCATTTTCAAGATGACCAAATCCTTGTGAATATTATTCTGAAGCGGCAAAATAAAGAATCGAGATTTAAATATTCAAGGAAAAAGGCATCGAACATCTATGTATTGAGGATATGAATAATATCTATATTGGATTGCAAATCGAAACATTTATATCGCAAAAACACTTTCACTTTTACTTGAATACAGTCAACTTGTGGTTGTGATATTTGGTAGGACCATCATGAGAGGTGTTTACAAACGCTAGATGAAGACTCAGTCCCCACTTGATGACAACGATCACCACTTCGTTCAAGAAAGCAAATGCACGAACGCAAATTTTATGCCGAAATTATAAAGAAAAAAGGAAAAGGGAAGCATTGGGGAGACGCTAAATGCATAAAAAAATGAGAACGATGAAATAAGTGCAAGACAACAAATATCGTCGAAAACTTGAAATGGAAAATAAGACTCCGATGCCAGATTTGCACAAAGAACATATTCATGGTTGAATGAATGTGATCCCTGGAAAAACATCTTAGCATAGGTCACCTTCGGGAGTCAATGTCAAACTCCAAAAACCTGGAGATGAGTCTGAAAAGGCCTTCCAAAGGATAGCCAACGCATGAAAACAATGGGGTTTATCGTCATCGACATTTGCTGACGATAACCAGTAATAAATATCAAGGTAGATGTGCTTGTCTCGCCGTGTGGAGTCGTTGTTATCAAGGTTGTATGCTAAAGCCTCGGGTATGGGTTAATGGGGATGACCAAGTCTCAAAGGTCAAAGATGAGAAAGACTTTACGGAATTCGTAATGAAAATAAGAGAAAAAATACGTAATTAAATGTATTTGATATATGAAAAAAGTACATATAAGGGTACAGGTGATTTTGAACAACGACGAAGCTATTACCCTAAGCAGCTACAATGGATACTGATCCTGAAGTTGGATTCTAGAACGTTTGCCACGTTCTAGAATTTCTTAAACATACTAGATATATATAAGTATTGTATATTATGATAATGGCAACGAATACCATAATACCAAGTAAATGTCTTATTGTATGTACCAGGTGCAAGAAGACCTTACTCAATTTCTTTCATGTACTACATGGACAGAAGTTTTGACATCCCAGTCAACTTCAACATACTTGTTACATAGTTAAACCTCCCAATAGTGACATATTTTGGTATTTGGTACTTGGGTTTTACGTCACTATTGCAAGGTGTCACTCACAAGAGTAAAGTGCGTATAATCTCCTAATAGTAACATACATTGGTGTTACCATTAAATGTCATTGTTGGGAGGTGCATAATTTTAATTTAACCTCCTAATAGTAACATACAAGGAGTTGGGGTTAGATGTCACTATTGGGAGGTGTCAATTAAGAAAATTAAAGTTTCATTGATTTCTTATCGTGCATTGCATCAACCCTAAGATATTCTATAAATTTGTTGTTTGGTTTCAAAATGGCCTTCATTTCCACATCTGTATGGTCAACATGGACATTGTAATTACATTTAAATTTAGATTAATACACACACATCTGAGTGAAACAATTAATGATAATATATGTAGCAAATTATGGGTCTAGGGTTAAAACCTAAACCCTTAGTTAAATCCAGAAAGTGTGAATTGTTGAGATATACCTTTAAATATATTTATGCCACATTTTTGTAGTCTCATAACTATGTATTGTGATAATGATAGAAATTTTTATTTTGAAATTACGTTTGAAATTGTCACTATTGTATAGTATGTACGTTATCAATAATAACGTTACGTCACTATTGGAAATAGTGATGTATCGTTATTATTGAGCAGATTTACGCATTAGAAACTAATGGTTATGGGATTTTACGTCACTAACGAGAGTATGTCACTCATAAGAGGTGACACTATCGGGAGATTTAACTTTGTATAGTCATCTTATGTAAGTATTTGTAAAACTGTTCCATTTGTAGGACTTGAGAAATGAGCATACAATACGTTTTCTATACTCTACGTATTACCTTTCAAATCTTATGTACGAAAGAGGCTTACAGTATTGATTTAGTGAACTGGAAATTGTCGGGGATAAACTTATGCGGATCATAGGCTCACAATGTGGGAGAATGTCGTGTACATTCCCCCTGTTGGCCGACTCTGTCCTACGTCAAGGAAAAGGTAAGCAGATTTTCCACCGGACGTTGTGCGTCTATCGAAGCAGCCGCCTGTGGTGATCGCAAGGTGTAGATTCTCGCGCCCAAGCGGCAACTCCTGAACCGTCCGATCCCCGGTCATCCCACATCCAACAAGTGGACATGGGATTTACCGGTGCCGGCGAACCCAAGCCGGTAAGGACAAGATTCAGACCGGTTGGAAGGAAATAGTTTCAAAATCTGTGACTCGATGTCACGCTCCCTTTAACAACATGGACCATTAAGCTCGGAAGATGTCCTGAGCCGCCAGATTGATTCCAACGGCGGAGATGAACTCAGTGAGATTGAGCCA